CAGATTCAGAACTTTCAAACTGAAAAATGTTTATTTTTACCAAAGAAAGATAGGTAGCTTGCTAAACATACTTAACAACAGGAATAAATATGAGTTTGTGAGGAGAATTGCCAATCATATGTCATTGTTTTAAAGATAAACTAGGAAGCTTTTCCCAAAACGAATTTAAATAAAATAAAAACCTACCCCTCTTTCTCTCTCTCTCTTACATAAACACTTAAATGTAAATATGCAAAGGAAGGAATCTGCCATAAGCTGGGTAACAATGCATTATGAAAAAAATAAGAGTAGACGGTTGCATATCCTATCAGTGCCAAATGTTTTGTAGCAACAACGGACACTGCAGATTACAGGAATTTCAAGGACAAAGGACCACTCTGCACTTGGACTATAAAGGAATTTTTCAGAAAAGGAGAATTTGAGGTGGGTTTTAGGATATGTAAGATTTAGAGAATTTAAAGGAAATGAGAAGCTATATCAGGAGGGAGGATCAGGGCCAGTGTTTGGCACGGAGCAGCTTAAGCTGCCACTTGAAATGCTGGCATCCTGTATCAGAGGACTAGTCCAAGTCCCAGGTGCTACACTTCTATCTAGCTCCCTGCTAATGCACCTGGGAAGGCAGCAGCTGATGGCTCCAGTACTTGGGTCCTTGTCACACATGTGGGAGACCTGGATGAAGTTTCTGGTTTCTGACTTCAGCCTTGACCAGCCCTGGCCATTATGACTATTTAGGGAGTGAACAGGTGGATAGATCTTTGTCTCTGTGTCTCCCTCTCTCTGTCACTCTACTTTTCAAAACAGTTAAATCTTATCCTTAAAAATATGTTAAGTAGGGAGAGTGGCATTAGCATGCCAAACAAACTGAGATGCTTTCTAGAAGTAGAAGGTGACTGTTTAGTTATAAGGGATACAAGTGAAAATTCATGAAAGACTAGAAGAGAGATGAGAACATTCTATAATACACATTCCCACAAACTTTTTGAAGATCTCTCATATTATTTAAGATAATAATTAACCCCTGCATTTTAAATAATGCCCAAGAAGCTCAATAACTATTTATTAGAGTGTTTTCATGGAAAAATGGCTCCTGAATTGTAAACATGAGTTTACAAATGAAATTAATTGAAGCACAAAATGTTCATATATTTGGAACTATACTTCCCCTTGAATAGAGTTGTTATTATTGTTGTTGTTGTTTTTTATCCTAAACTCTTTTCTATGTTTTGTTGCTGTTCGTAGCTCAAGAGATTAAATCAGTGCAAACCAAGAAAGGCATCTCAAATTTGGGAAACTATACCTTAGAATCTGTCAGGTAGAGGGAATACATATTTTGAGTGAAACCCAAATGAGTACTTGATTTTCCAACCAAACTAAATGTGTGAATCTTTGCAGGTGAAGTCAGTCAAAGTTTTAATATTAAAATAATGAGAACTTTTTTAACCACCCTTCAATCTGCTTCAGATTTCTCCCATCACCTTAGGAAGATGCTATACTGACGATGACTAGGTGTGATTTTGTCACATCAAAATACGTATATACCTGTGTTTCAGGTGGAAAGGTGACTGTGATTAAGGCTCACAGTTCTAAGGTACAGCAGATGGCACAGAGTGGAAGTTTTGATAATGAGAAATGACAGCTTCCTGCAATTCTTGAGGACTGGAGAGAGGGAATTATTTGCTTTATCCTGGCAGCAATTTCCCTAAGCCCTGTGAGAGGACATAGCTCAAGCTGTTGCAAATGTAGACATAGTAGATAGCAGTCACAGCTCTTGGTTGGAACAAGATTCCCTTGGCCATGAAATATATTGAAAACCTTTCTAAATAGGATTGATTGCTTAATTTGACTGTTTATGAGAAAATCCTACAGTCTTCAATTTTGAGTGCTTGTTCACAATCCGCAGAAAGGGTCAGGAATACTTCCACCAGATATGCATGTGTATATCCATTCATGTGTACTGTAATTAGATAATATAATCACAAAGACAATCACAGATACGATGTGTTAAAAGTGTTAGACACTAGTTACAAACAATTCCTTACTCTGACTTTCATAGTGTAATACTATAACCAACAAGCTCTTCCCCCTGTGTCTTTCCAGAATAGGTATAATGACGTCAACCATTGCCACCAGTTCTCAAAACACAACAACCAGCAGCACAAAGAGGCTCCTCGTGTTTAAAAACAGAGGAACTGATAGATGTTTTGTTAGCTGCACACTTTATTTTGAGGGGTTAACTTCTGCCTCTCACTTTCTCTTTCATGAATGAGCAATTAATGACTTTGCTGCTGTCGCTGTGTCTGCGCTTCAATTTACAATAGGCTTTTGTTTTCTTGCAAACGAAAAAAGCCTTGAAGGATTTCAATCTTCCAAAACACGGAACACATTCTTTCTCTTTATTTCTGAACACACAAAAAAGTCTATTCTTATGTATATTTAATAACAGGCTTCAAAAAAAGCCTTATTGTGCACCTTACCATGATCTGATTGATTCTTGCAGCTAAATCAAAGGAGCACATACAAATCCTGGTTCCGGGAAAGGTTTTCTATTTAAAAAATTTTCAAGTGTAAACTTGATAATAAACTGGAGGGAAAATGTAAATATGTTGTATTTCATTTTAAATACAGTTAAGCACAGTTTAAACACAGCCAACTTTTTCTGTATGATAATGTGATTTAGATAATGAAGTGCTTCATCTTAAGTCACAGAAAGTTCAGTGCTGCTAGGGTCTACAATTAGAGAGAAAATCCTGCATGCCTTATTTATGGTTGTCTCTTAAAAATAAGCACATGTATGTGTGTGTGTGTGTGTGTATTAACAGGCAATGGATAATAAAGGGCTGAGCATTATCTGATAGAGTTGGTGGGTATTTACATACCTAACACATAAGTCCCTAATACCCATCTTTTATTTCTTAAAAGCAGACTGTGGGTAGAGCAGTACATTTGACTAGGATAATAACACTGCAGTTATCTAGAATGGTTACAGAATTGAAATGTCCCAGTCAGTTTAACAGTCTGATTAACTCAGCATTTACCAGCATATACCTTCTGCTTTGGGTCATGAAATTAAGCTATGAGTAAATCAGGTGAATGTATAGCGTGCCTTCATCGGCAGTGAAGAGGAATTGAACTTAAACTGTATCTTACTCTTGCTATTAAAAACAAAAATTACAGTCCTGAAAGGAGTTTGCTGATTGCCAATTGCTTCTTTCTCGTAATATTTGTGAGAGTTGCCTGTGGGACTACACAGATACCAATCAGCTCGTAGAGGACTCTAAGTGGTTACACTCCAGCTAATTGAGGATGTACTCTAAGTACCTCAGGTATCCATTTACTTTTATGTTTCCAAGTAGTGTATTTTATGTTTTCAAGTGTCGATGTCTTCTTCCTGGTCCACTGGAAATCTTAATAAGGTGTTTTTTGTATCCATTATATAAAAATTACACACAGAGCAGTTGCAGGCATTATCACACAGTAGGTTATGCTGCCACTTGAGATACATGCATCTCATATCTGAATGCCCATTCAAGTCCTGGCTATTCTGTGTTTCTGATCCAGCTTCCTCTTGATGTGCCTGGGAGACAGCAAATGCTGGCCCAAGTTCTTGGGTTCCTTCATCATATAAGAGACTTAGCTGGAGTTCCTGGCTCCTAGCTTTGGCTTGGCTCAGCCTTGGCTGTTGTAGATGTTTGGGGAGTGAATCCGCAGGTGGAAGGTATTGCAATATATTTTTATCTGTGTGTGTGTGTGTGTGTGTATCCATTTCTCTCTGTCACTATGCCTTTCAAGTAAATGAATAAATGTTTCCTAGGAATCACAAAGAGGAAACACCAAGGCAAGATGCTGCTTTGGGGACACCCTTCATCATTTTTCATTTGAACAAATAGACATTCATAGTCACAGCCATGCTATTTGGTGAGGTCCTTGGCAAATAGTGGGAAGCTGTAGTTAAGTTAGATAAACAGAAGCCCATATCTTTTACTTATGTTTAGCTCTCTGTACCACCAAAGGTAAACTATAGGATTTCAAAGGCTTCAACATAGACAGTTGTAGTCAGGTGATCAAGAGGGTCTATGTTGCAGGAGACATGGAGAATCTGGTGTAAACTTGGCAAAGTAATCAGCTTTTCAACTTTGTAGTTTTATCTCAGTGTGACTACAGGCTCGCATAAAATATGTCATTTAAAATATCTCATGTCTTAGCTTAAAGTCCTGATTGGGATACACTATCTCTAGTATAATTTTTAATATCTAAATATATTATACAATTTTATGGCTTAGCATAATTTGTTTACCCAATCTCCTGATGCTAGACATTTGGGATATTTCTCTATTTTTTCATTAATAAACATTTATGCAACACCAATCCACATAGCTATGCTCTTTAAAGAGTAAAGCTCCATAGTTAACAGCAGAATCTTTGGTCAATGGCATACTGAAGTTTGTCTATCACCTCTGTTACTTTATTTTTTAATGTTACTTAATTATTTTCATTTTACTTGAAAAATATGGAGAGAGAGGCAGAGAGACACAAAGAGATCTTTGATCCACTGGTTTGCTCCCCAAGTGCACACTATAGACAGGGCTGAGCTAGGCTGAAGCCAAGGACCCAGGATTCAATCCAGATTTCCCATGTGTGTAGCAGGGACCCAAGTACTTAAGCCATCATCTGCTGCCTCCCAGGGTACAAATTTACAGGAAGTTGGATTAGAAACAGAGTAGCAACAGACTTGATCCAGGCACTCCAACAAGGGACACTGGTGTCCCTGGCTCAACCATTGTGCTAAACACCCAGGTCAACTCTGTCATTTTCTAATAATGTGACCTTAGACAAATCATGTATCATCTCAAAGCTTTTGTTCCTTTACCTGTAAAAAGAAGATAATTCAACTAATTCCTAGAGTTTTTGTGATAATTCCATTAAAGAGTTCATGCAAAAGTATAGTAAATAAATGTTAGCTTGCTCTTTTTTTTTAAAGATTTATTTTATTTATTTGACAGGCAGAGTTACAGAAAGAGGTAGAGACAGAGAGACATGTCTTCCATCCACTGGTTCACTCCCCAGATGACTGCAATGGCTGGAGCTGAGCCTATCTGAAGCCAGGAACCAGGAGCTTCTTCCGGGTCTCCCATGTGGGTACAGGGTCCTAAGGACTTGGGCTATCTTCTACTGCTTTCCCAGGCCATAGAAGAGAGCTAGATCGGAAGAGGAGCAGCCAGGACTAGAACAGGCACCCATATGGAATGCCAGTGCTTCAGGCCAGGGCGTTAACCTGCTGAGTCACATCACCGAACCCCATGTTAGCTTGTTCTTAACAAGCTAGTTAACTGTATAGATACTCCTCAACTTAGGATGGGGTTGCATCTCAATAAGCATGTTGCAAGTTGAAAACATCATAAGCTGAAAATCTTTTTACTTTACCTAACCTAATTAACATCAGAGCTCGGCAAAACAGCACACTACAGAGTTTCCCTCAAATCACATGGTCACCTGTGAGCTGTCTTACTGCTCGTTGCCACTGCCCATCTTGAAAAGAGGATCATACAGCATATCCAGCCAAAGACTGAAGTGCTGATTACAACTTCCACTGGACGTGTATCATTTTTGCTCCATTATAAAGTTAGAAAAATCATAAATCAGGAGCTGTCTTACTTATTAGGATAAACTCACAAAAGTGGAACTACTTTACCCTTGTAAATTTTGAAGGCTCTTGGTGCATGTTGTCTAAGTGCCTCAGTGTACACAATTCTCATTAACGATATCACATTATATGGCAATTATATGTGCATTGACTTGTGTCTAGAGCAAACAAAGAAGTCTGCAAGAGACATTGTAAGGCCTTATTAAATCCCTGTTCCCTGAGTGTCTGCCAAGAGGAAAGATACACAACACATAGTCAACCACTGTTTGCTTAGTGAATGAATAGCTGTATCTTTCCTTAAACCCATCTGAACAGCACCACCTTTTCAGAATTTCAATGAAGGCCCCGCCTCTCATTCTTTCTGGAGATCCCTGTTGTTCAACAAAATCAGGTGGGTTAAGCTGGCAATGGCAGTAGTTCTCTCCTGGGGAGACTGTTCTAAAATGCAGGTTTCTCCTGAATATAGCACTACTGCAGGACCCAGCCATCCCACTCCTTGGAATATACCCAAATGGAATTAAAGGGGTGAAAAAAGCCATTTGCACCTCAATATTTGTTGCAGCTCAATTCACAATAGCTAAGACATGGAATCAACCTAAATGTCCATCAACGGATGACTGGATAAAGAAACTATGGGATATGTACTCTATGGAACACTATACAGCAGTAAAAAACAATGAAATCCGGGCATTTACAACAAAATGGAGGAAGCTGGAAAACATCATGCTGAGTGAAATAAGCCAGTCCAAAAGGGACAAATATCACATGTTCTCCCTGATCGATGGCAACTAAACGAGCACCTAAAATGATACCCATTGAAGTGAAATGGACACTATGAGAGACAATGACATGAGCAGCCCTTGGCTAGACTATTGAGGAACAACTTACTACTTTGTTCCTTTAGTATTTTTGTTGTTGTTGTTGCTCGATTTACTCTACACAAGACCACTGGTTGAACTCTGCAATCAATGCACAACCATTCTTAAGCATTTAAAAATTAACAGAAAATTGATCTCTGTGGAATATGGGAGTGGGAATAAGAGAGGGAGGAGATATATAGGACAGCACATACTCACTCAGACCTACCTCCAATGGTGGAACTGGAAATGTGCCAGGGGATTTCAACTCAACCTTACCAAGGAGGCAGGTACCAATGCCAGCACACTTGGTAAAGTGACAAATATAAATACACAACTGATCAAAAAGATAGGGTAAGTGTCAAAGAGATTACACAAATAAGACCAGTGTAAGCAAATAATGAAAGATAGAATCAAAAGGGAGAGAATGATCCTGCGGGGGAAGCAGAACACACAGCAGACTCATAGAATGGCAAATGTCCAAAACAGCACTCCTGCCTCAGAATCAACCCTTGGGACATACAGATCTGACTAAAAGGTCCATGACAGTCTTGCAGGCATGGAAAGCCATGACACGGTGGCAAAAAAAAACAATCTAAATGAAGGATCCTGGTGAACAACACCCCAGCAGAAGGATCAGGCCATCAAGGAGAGAGGCGCCTTTCTCTGAAGGGAGGAAGGAACCTCCACTGTGATATGGCCTTGACTAAACAAATTCAGAGTTGCTGAACTCAAGGGGCTTCCATAGCCTAGACAGCTCATAGCAAGAGTCTCGGGTGATTGCTGACATCATAAATAAGAGTGCCAATTGTTAAATCAACAACGGGAGTCACTGGGTTCATGCTCCCCACACAGGATCTCTGTCCTTAATATGTTTAACTATGAAACTCAAAAACAACACTACTAGTCGAACAATACCCTATACCTGGTCCGGTTGTGTGAGTGCAACCTGTTGAAATCCCTGCTTAGTATATACTAAGTTGATCTTCAGTATATGAAGGTAATTGAAAATGAAACGTGATGAAGGGCGGGATGGGAGAGGGAGTGGGTGAGGGGAGGGCCACGGGAGGGAGGGAGGTCGGCGGGGGGGAAGCCACAACAATACAAAAGATGCATTTTATATTCTACTTAAAACTATTGGTTGAACTCTGTAATTAATACACAATTACTCTTAGGTGTTTAATTAATGCTATAACTAGTACTCAAATAGTATTTTACACTTTGTGTTTCTGTGTGGGAGCAAAATGTGGAAACCTTTACTTAACATACGCTAAATTGATCTTCTGTATATAAAGATAATTGAAAATTAATCATGATGTGAAGGGGAAGGGGAGAGGGAGTGGGAGAGGGGAGCATTGTGGGTGGGAGGGAAGATATGGGGGGGGAGGCTATTGTGGTCCATAAGCTGTACTTTGGAAATTTATGCTCATTAAATAAAAAAAATAATAATAAAAATAAATAAATAAATAAAATGCAGGTTTCTGTGTTCTGCTTGAAGATTCTCATTCAGAAAGTTTCAAGAGGGGTTCAGGCGAAGAATTTTCATTTAAAGACCTCCAACCACCACTATTCCTGATGCACATGAACCTCTGTACGAGGGTACTTCAAAAGGTTGTGGAGGGGGCTGGCTCCGTGGCTCACTTGGTTAATCCTCCACCTGCGACGCTGGCATCCCATATGGGCACCTGTTCTAGTCCCAGGTGCTCCTCTTCCAGTCCAGCTCTCTTCTGTGGCCTGGGAGGGCAGTGGAGGATGGCCCAAGTGTTTGGGCCCCTGCACCCACATGGGATACCAGGGAGAAGCACCTGGCTCCTGGCTTCGGATCGGCACAGCGCTGGCCGTGGCGGCCATTTGGGGAGTGAACCAACAGAAGGAAGACCTTTCTCTCTCTCTCTCTCTCTCTCTCTCTGTCCATAACTCTACCTTTCAAATAAATAAAAAGAAAAAAAAAAGGTTATGGAAAAGTAGAATTAAAAGGCAAGTTTATTTTCACGCAAAAAAGTTTTTGAACTTCAGGCATATGTTTTTGTAATAAACACATTTTCCATGAACTTGTTTGAAGACCATTCATATTCCATTTTCTCAAGAACTGGTCTCTGGAATCTTTACTTCATATCGCAGAAATCTGAAGTTCTTTTAAACTCCGTGACTGTAGAATGCATTTTTTTAAATGACCAGTCAAAGCAAACTCAGAAACCTTACAGCTTATCCATAGTATTTGCTGGTCAATAGAAGCTGCTAAGGCAGCTGGAGTTCATATTGATTAGGAGGTGAAAGAAATGAACTAAGGATAAAAACGTCATAGCACTATTTGGCCTTACACAAATTATCTCCCTTTGTAACCTGTTCATGGTGTGCTGGAAACCAAGTTGGACTGCTGGATTTTTGGCAGACCATGGAAACTGTGCTGTCATTCAGTCTCATTTCGTTTGTTCCAGAATGTCCTTAGGCAGGAGCTGGAGGTGGCCTCCATGGGGAGTGTCAGAAATAAAGGCCATGGAGGCAGAGCTCAACAGCTCCCCTGTGACCTGCCTCACAGGTGAAGATTTGAAGGAACGAGCCCTCAGCAAGTTCTTCAAACTCATGGGTCAGTGGCAAGTAGTACAGCTGAGACTCAGAAGCCTGTCCACTGATGTGATGCCACAAGTGGGAAATTCCACACCTGACCTCATGGGACAAGTCACAGTCAAAACACAGAAACAGGGACAGGCATTTGGTACATGCGTTAAGACGCTGCTTGTGACACCCACGCGCCATGCCGAAGTGTCTGGGTTCAAGTCCCGGCTCCACTTCAGATTCCAGCTTTCTACTAATGTAAACCCTAGTAGGTAGCAGATGCTGACTCAAGTGCTTGGGTCCCTGCCACCTACATGGGAAACTGAGATGAATTACAGGCCCCCAGCCCAATCCCCACTACTGCAGGCATCTAAGGAATGAAACTAGTGTATGGGAGATCTCTGTCTGTCAGTCTCTCTCTCTGTCCCTCTCTCTCTGTCTATCTACTTTTCAAATAAAAAGATATTTAATTTTTTAAATAAGCACACTAAAAATACTATATAAAGTTATCTTCAAGCTCTGTGCAAAAGGTGCATATGAAATACAAATGAATTTTATGTTTAGACCTCAGATCCACACTCAAGATATCTCATTATCTATATGCAAATATTCCCATATTAAAAAAGATCCAAAACCTAAAAAACTTCTGATCCCAAGCATTTTGAATAAAGGATGCTTAAGTTTCCATGAAGATGTACTCGTAAGCTTGATTGTCAGTTCACAGAGTTTGGGTTCATTTACTTCTTGGTACATCTACATGTAGCTCTTCTCAGAATGATTTCTATTACCCAACTACTGTAAGCCTCAGATGAGAAAACAGAGATGCTATCATACCTCACTCTTCTCTTCTATAAAATAAAAATAGAGTTGTTGGGAAGATTATAGTAGATGACTTAGCAAAGTGCCCATTACATAATTCAGGTGGTCAATCACTTTCCCTCTCTTTTTCCTCCCTACTCTCAACCCACCCTTACTCTCAGTACTCATCTCTCCATGACTGATTAGGGCTACTACTATACATATTCCTGTATATTACTTTCTAAATAACCAATAAGAACTGGTTGAAAATATGACTATATACTAGTATGTTTATTATGGATTACATGGTGAAAATACAAGTATAAATCATGCATACCCTCAGTGTATTCACAAGCTGGAAAGAGAAATACAAAAAAAAATAACTATATAACAAACAAAAAAAAAGAAAAAGAAAAAAAAACTTAATACTTTACCCTTTTAGTAATTTTTTATGTTCTACTTAAAACTATTGGTTGAACTCTGTAATTAATACACAATTACTCTTAGGTGTTTAATTAATGCTATAACTAGTACTCAAATAGTATTTTACACTTTGTGTTTCTGTGTGGGTGAAAACTGTGGAAATCTTTACTTAATATGCTAAATTGATCTTCTGTATATAAAGATAATTGAAAATGAATCTTGATGTGAATGGAAGGGGATAGGGAGTGGGAAAGGGGAGCGTTGTGGGTGGGAGGGAAGTTATGGGGGGAAGCTATTGTAATCCATAAGCTGTACTTTGGAAATTTATGTTCATTAAATAAAATTAAAAAAAAATAAAAAAATTTTTTAAGATGCAATACACCTACATAACAGAAATTTTTTCATTAAGTAATTTGATTTATTAAAACTTAATTTATTGAAAATCATCTGTTGGGTCACCTAGAAGTACTATAGCAGTTCAAAACAAGAAGGAATCCATGATGCTGAATCTCAAGGGAAGACTTCATGGAGCAGACAGGGTTTACTCTTGACTCTGAAATAAAAACACTGTGTGTATTTACAATGTGTCATATTATAAGAATGATCTTTGTGTAATCTTCAAAACAACCCAATAGTTTAGTAGTATTGTTATCATCCCTACTGACTGACTGACAGGTGGTATTTTTCCCAAGGTCATAGTTGGTAAGCAGTATAGGTAGGACTCCCAACATCTAGTTGACAACAAAACCTGTTCTCTGAAAGATAGGAAGGATCTGAATGTGGGGGAAGAGAGGGCAGGGAGCGTCACAGGGAAGCAGGACAGCATCGCCACGTGAGCAGAACCAGAAATGACCAGAACATACTCAGGAAACCACATTTATGGTGAATGTGACTAAAACCCAGACTTCTTTCTTTTTTTAAGGTTTTATGTATTTGAAAGGCAGCAAGAAAGAGGGAGAGAAAGCGAGAAAGAGATCTTCCATCCACTGGTTCATTCTCTAAATGGCCGCAATAGTTGGAATTGGGCCAAGCTGAAGCCAGGAGCCTAGAATTCTATTCAGGTTCCCTACATGGGTGGCAGGGAGCCAAGCACTCAGGCCACCTCTTGCTGCCTTCCTAGGCATGTTAGCAGGGAGTTGATGGGAAGCAAGACATTCAGGACTCAAACTGACACACGAGATGCCAGTGTCACAAGTGGCATCCTAACTTGCTACACCACACGGCCAGCCCCCAAATCCCCTTTCAGACAGCAGAGACTTGAATTAAAGAAAATCACGTTTGCTTCAAGATTTGCTCACAGAACACTCAATGCTCACTCCAGATCTACTCAGCTTTACAACACAAAAGCATAAATGTAAATAAATAAATATGCATAGCGATGTGTCTGTGTTATGATGCATTCATGTAAATCTAGACTTGACAACATTCAAAAAGGTTTTGAAAAACGGATTCAGGACATGCACCTTGACATTGAGAAAACAGCAGAAGCAGGCAGGGCCCTGACCTCCTCCTACCCCCTTCTCTCCTGAAACCAGGTATGGAAACTACAGCTGCCCTTACTCCCTCTCCACCGAGAAGACTCTAGTTCCAGAATGATCCTCCTCCACCCGAGGGAAAGGAATGTGTTACGTCTGAAATACAGACTGAGACAGAGAGAATCCGAACAAAGAGGCCTTGCTAAGCTCCCCCAGTTTATCACTATCGGATCTTTCCCTTTCAGCCTCCCAACTTATTTCTCACAAGTGTCCAAAAATAACAATATAGATTTCCCTGTTCCTTTGGGCCTGCATTTGTGAAGGCTCCCAAGTGATGTAAAGCTTATATTAAGGAAATTTGCTTGTATTTCTCTTACTGACCTGTTTTTTGTTAAAGAGCCTCAGCCATAAACCATGCAATAGGTGAATGAAAGGTATTAATAGGTGGAGCATCCCTCATCTGAAAATTAGAATTTTTTAAAAAAATGTTTAAAGATTTATTTATTTATTTGAAATTCAGAGCTACACAGAGAGAAAAAGAGAGGCAGAGAGAGAGAGAGAGAGAGAGGTTTTCTATCCGTTGATTCACTTCTGAGTTGGCTGCAACAGCTGGAGTTATACCGATCCAAAGCCAGGAGCCAGGAGCTTCTTCCAGGTCTCCCACACAGGTGCAGGGGCCCAGGGGCTTGGGCCATCTTCTACTGCTTTCCCAGGCCACAGCAGAGAGCTGGACTGGAAGTGGAGCAGCAAGACTCAAACCAGCACCCATATGGGATGCCAGCACTGCAGGTGGTAGCTTCACCCACTATACCACAATGCCGGCCTCAGAAATTCTTTTTTTTTTTTTTTTTTTTGAAGATTTACTTATTTATTTGAAAGGCAGAGATACAGAGAGAAGGAGAGATTTTCCATCCACTGGTTCAGTCCACAAATGGACACAACAACTGGGACTGTGCCAGGCCGAAGCCAGGTCTTAGGAGCTTCTTCAGGGTCTCCAATGTGGGTTCAGGGGCCCAAGTGCTTGGGCCATCTTCTGTTGCTTTCCCAGGTGCATTAGCAAGGAGCTGAAGTGAAAGTGGCACCCAAATGGGATGCTGACACGGCAGGTAGAGGCTTAATCTTCTCTGCCACAATGCGAGTTCATGAAAATCAGAAATTTTAAGTGCTATGAAATCTGAAAACTTTAGGAGCTGCGAAACGTTTTGGATTTTGAGGACATGTGTTGTGGCACAACAGATTAATTACCACTTGGGACACCCACACCCCATATCAGAGGGCCTGGGATCAAGTCTCATCTCTGCTTCCAATCCAGCTTCCTGCTAATGTGCATCCCGAGAGCAACTGACAGTGGTTCAAGTACTTGGATCCCTGGATGGGATTCTCAGTCAAGTACTTGGATCCCTTGGATAGAGTTCTTGGCTCCTGGTTTCAGCCCGGCTCCTACCCAGCTTCTGTGGAAATTTGGGAAATAAACCAGTGATTGAAAAGTCTCTCTCTCTCTCTCTCTCTGGTACTCTGCTTTCAAATAAAAATAAACTTTTTTCAAAAATTTTTTGTATTTCAACACATTGGTAATTCAGAATTTTCAGATTACAGATGCTTAGTCAGTAAATTTTATGTGAATATCGCAAAATCTGAAGAAGAAAAAGATCCATAACCTGGTACACTTCTCTTCCCAAGCATTTCAGCTAAGGGATACTTTACCGGTCCTGTTCCCCACTACAGTAGGCAAGTAAGTTAAAGAATACGCCAAAGTGGCATGTTTGGGCTCAGCAAAGTAGAACAGTATATTCCAGTTTACCTGTGATTCCAGTGTTTCATTATGCCTCTGCTCTATTTTTATAGTGGTAATCAGAGACTCCTTTAACCCAAAATGAAAAGTAGCCAGGTATTAGCTAAATTCCTCATTGAAGAAAATATTTCACTCAGCTCTACTTTTATCATTACTTTCTTCCTTTTTATGAAAATACCCTTCAGTTTACATAGAGACAAGGACACAAGATGCTAAACAGACCAGAAGGGAGCAAAGGGCAACTCTGAGACAAGAGAAATGCTGGGGCTGGTCCAGATGGTGCTCCGGCGAGGCATGCTACCAATAAGGTCCTCAAGCAGACTTTCTCCATGCCTCTCCCACCCAAATCCACTCCAGAGTATGCCACCCACACAATTAAAGCGCTCATTGTTGTCTGCGCCAGTCTGTCCATGGCTTTACAGCCTCAGGTCTGAGAGGCACTCTAGGTAAAATTTTGACAAACTGCACAAGAAGAGGGCCATGTTTTATTCTTCGAATTATAGTCATGGACTCTTTGCAACTTTTCTTAAAAAAACAGAAATGTGGTTTTGAGCCAGGAGGAAGTGAGACTTTGTGAGGCAGAGGAAATACCTTGACTTGGCAACAAGTTGCCAGTTACAGTTCTCCACTCTCCCTCCTGTGCTCCACCACCTGTGGTGGTCCTGGGAAATTCTTCAGTCTGTCTTAATTTGGTTTTTTGTAGTCAATGGACATTATAGAAATATTATCTGCTCATTCTACTATACAGAATTTGTTGTGGGTCTAGTTGAATATCTTATAGAAATTGTAAAATATCATAGAAATATATTTTAAAGATTTATTTACTTATATGAAAAGCAGAGTTACAGAGAGAGAGAGAGAGAGAGAGAGAGAGAGATCGTCCAGCCTCTGGTTCAGTCCCCAGGTGGCTGCAACAGCCAGAGCTGGGCCAGGCAAAAGCTAGGAGCCTGGAAGTCTACCTAGGTCTCCCACATGGATGGCAGGGACCCAAACACTAGGACCATCTTCCACTGCTTTCCCAGTTGCATTAGCAGAGACCTGGATCGAAAGTGGAGCAGCTGGGACCCAAACCAGCACTATGCCCCATGTCAGAGCTATGCTTTGATATCAGTCTTGCATCCTGTAAGTATTATTGCTGCTTTTATTACTGTTTGCAGAGCTAAGCATGTATTCTTAGGTTTGCATAGAAGAAAATTACTCCTATAAAACACATGCTTAGTCTTCCTTCAAGAACTCAACTTCACTGGGGCTAGCACTGTGGCATAGTAGGTAAAGCTGCCGCCTGCAGTGCTGGCATCCCATTTGGGCGCTGGTTCGAGTCCCAGCTGCTACACTTCCGATCCAGCTCTCTGCTATGGCCTGGAAAAGCAGTAGATGATGGCCCAAGTCCTTGGGCCCCTGCACCCATGTGGGAGACCCAAAAGAAGCTCCCGGCTCCTGGCTTTGGATAGGCACAGTTCCGGCCATTGTGGCCAATTGGGGATGAACCAGAGGATGGAAGACCTCTCTCTCTCTCTCTCTCTGCCTTTCCTTCTCTCTCTGTGTAACTCTGAATTTCAAATAAATAAATAAATCTTAAAAAAAAAAAAAAAGAACTCCAGCTGTATGGCACGAGCTCATGCACTTAACTGTCTTTTCCACATAAAGCTTATTTGGTCAGATTTCTTATATGACGAAGATGTTCA